CTTTTATTCGTTCCACTGGGGTTTAGCAGGTGTGTTTATAAAGAGACGAAAATTGTTTGGGGACTATCCCCCACGTTCTAGTTGAGATGGTATAACCCAAGAGGCAAAATGACGCTTGCTACTGTTGTTGCGAGTTGCCATTCGTTCTACTAAACCATTAGTCAAACGCCATCATGCCTTCTGTCGTTATTACACAAACAAAAATCTCTTTACTGTTACTAGTGTTAGTGCCTCAATATGGCTACGCTCGTGAAAGCAATACAACGAAACTCAAACGCGTCTTCGTTCAATGTTGTCAACTAATATCCGGATTATGCAAATTTTCCTCAATTCTCTGGAGAAATTTTCATAAAAATTTGAAAAACCCGGAATTCCGGGAAAATCCGGAGGACTTTCATCTCTGTACAATTTGTCTTGTAGTGGCCCACACGCAACACCTGAAAAGGCTTCACGTAGAACCCTGTATGCGGCATTATCTTTTGGGAAGTATGAGTGATGAAGAGCAAATACCAAAAGTAATGATGGCTACCTTAAATCAACTATTGTGCTCAAGAGTCATTCAATGTAATATTTGCATAACATATTGGGAAGCATTGAATTTCACACAACTCCTTCACTGTTTTTCTACAGTCAACAACCAAAAGGTGTATTGAATCGTAAACTTACTGATCAGGGCATCAAAATTTGGGTCTGGACGCAGCGACCTCTTGGAAACCAACTTCTTGCGACATGTAGGACATTCTTTATTGCTAAAATAACAAATATCACATGACCAAGAAAATAAATTGGCTGTGTTAAAAAAAATATATATATATATATATATATATATATATATATATATAAATCACTCAAAATATTCGTGGGGCAATGATTAATTGACAACAAAACAATTTTCAAATTCATCATTGTTTTTGATAAAACCAAACAAGCATTCATGTTTCGAGCCCTATCATTTTATTGCGTTCCATCCAAAATGTGTATTTTATGAACAAATGGTGAAAAGGTCATAAAAAATTGACATTCACTTCATGTACTTTTAAGGTAAAATACTAGAAGTCGATCTGTATCGACCTCCCGCTAACAGCAAGGGTTACCTGTCCATTGAATAACCAACACGAATAAAATTTAAAAATATATATCCGTACTTACCCAGATCGCAAAGCTGTGATAATACACTCGGCACAGAAACGGTGCAGGCATTCTTTGGTTGTCATTGTGTTTTTCAGCATATCCAGACAAATCGGACACATTAGTTCACTGTGTAATGACCTGGGTGAAACTGCAATCTCCAAGCCATCTGTTATAGCTTCCTGTGCGGAAAAAAAACAAAACAAAACATTAATTCACAATCACACATGGAAAATAGGAAATGATGCTGACCATTATGATTGCATTGCACAGCTCTGCCTATTACATTACACAAATCAGTTTTAGGATTAGAAATCAACTGTATAGTCTCAAAAAATATAGACTAATAAATGAAACATTTTACCTGTGGAGTTCTCTGTAGTTCATAGAGGCTCAACTCCCAGGTCTTACTGAGGGGTTGGACGCCATTGGTCTGAATGGTTTGAGTCATTGCCATAAAACTGAAAAAAACATCGATAGGTGTGGTTAGGTATGTGCCTCAAGGTGACTATTATTGCTTAAATTTGTAGGCAAGATTTGGAACAAAAGGTGTATAAATGCTATTCAACAATATCCTTAACATATTATTAAATAACTTATTAAAGTAGCTGCGCGAAGCCCTTAAATACTTAATTTATTTTTAATTTAAAAAAACAAAACACCAAAAACGTATTTTTACATTTTGGCACTAAATGATAGTGTTTTTTGCAAATGTAATTCTGTTTTGACATGAAATGAGTTAAATGGACAGCTAAGGCCAGCCAACCACAAACCTTATTTCATGCTTGCCAAGGATTGACAACTGAAACCAGCTAATTACAAACAACTGGCTGCAAGTTCTAATAAATAAAGCTTCACTTCCCACAGCTTTCTGCATTACAGTCTTTTTGTCTGACAAATGCTTCGTTTTCACTGAACTCAGTCATATTGTATCGATAGAGATGATTTTATATGAATATCAACATGGCCATACTGTTCAGCCCTAATCAGTAATAAGACTGGTTGTACATGTTCAAATGTCACCAGTTGTCATCATGACATACTCTAACAAAGTACAATCTCTTTTAATTGTTGAGCCGGTTGAGAAATGGCGGCCCGGTGGTCGACTGGTGGTTAGCACGTCGGCCTCGCAGTGCAGAGGTACGGGGTCCGATTCCGGCACATACTTTTCCCCCCATACATTATTGCTATTGAATGTATGATGTTATCCTAGCTCAGTTTAAAGATATTAGACAAATGTATATATAATATTAAGGCCACATACAATATGGCGGATGGGCTAACATATCATTCCAATCCAATTCAACAATTGTCTGCTACGGTAAAATAGCCGATTCAAAGCAGGCCAAGGATTCCTTACTCCAGCGATTGACCAATCAGAGCCGTTCACGGCAAAATAATCACTGTCGTAAAATAGCTAATGCTAACCACCTTTGACGTTAGGCCAAGTCTGGATCCTAATATCGGAGACCTGATGGTCAATCAAGGAGCTCGACGCCAGGAAACCATTGCTGAATCGTGTTACATTTAGCAGGCCGCCATATAAATCAAAATGCTTTCAACTGAAAAGTCAGCATCACAAACGTGCCGAGGGATTCACTCGTCGTTGTGACAGAAAACAACAACAGTGCCCGACATTATTATAGTCGTCAACCACGAGTATGAATTTCCGACATCGACTCCAACATTTTGACTGTTGTAAATACCCACGCAAAGAATATATGACGCGAACATTCTTGCAAAACACTCGTAGTTTATCTGCAATAAGAACGTCTCCCGACTTACCTGAAGGTACAGGTCGAGCGAAGAGTTTTGATGAATGCAATATGGCCGAGGGGGAGTACCACGACTACTTCTTCTTCTTCTTCTTCTTCTTCTTCTTCTTCTTCTTCTTTTTCTTTTTCTTCTTCTTCTTCTTCTTCTTCTTCTTCTTCTTCTTCTTCTCCTCTTCCTCCCCCTCCTCCTCGTTCTCCTTCTCCTGCGGGTTGGGAAGCACCTGTGTGCATTGTCGCCACCTTGTGAAATGGAGCGTTGACCAGGCTCTCAAGAGAGGAAAGTGACATTTCACTTGACCACATACGGGTGCGTTACAAAACTACAATATTAAAAACAAATATATGAACTAAAATGAAAAGGTGATTTCCATGTTGATATAAATTAACACATACCTTGGTATAAATGGTAAAAAAAAAACATGACCCCTCCCTCTCATGTGTCTTTACCAAATAATCATCTATAGATTACATTATAGATAGATAGATAGATAGATAGATAGATAGATAGATAGATAGATAGATAGATAGATAGATAGATAGATAGATAGATAGATAGATGGATAGATGTTGTCTTGGGCTCGGGATGATATCGTGACCAAGTTTGTTATTAGAGCAAGCATTGATTTTGCAAGACACCGAGTTTTGTAATCTCACATGTGGAGTCCCACAGGAATCGGTACTTGGCCCTCTCTTGTTCAGCATTTACATGCTACCGATTGGTGAAATCATACATAAAATGACATTCGTTTTCATTGTGATGCTGATGATACCCAACTATATATACCGTTAGAAATAACTAACCCCGGGCCTGTTGCTGTAATATGGAGGTGTACTTTGCTGGGATTAAAGAATGGATGTCTTTTAATTTTTTACTTCTTAACCTCGATAAAACTAAGATGATGATCATTGACCCTATTCGGCATCAGCACCTATTCAAGGACATTCCTCTTAGCCTCGACAAACGGACTATTACACGAAGAGATTCAGTAGGCAATCTCTGTATTATATTTGTTTCAACGTTCTCTTTTCAAATGCACATTAAAAATATATGTAGAAATGCATTTTTATTCACCTTCGCAATATCGCTAAGATACATCCCATGTTATCTCTTAGTGACGCAGAAATTATAATTCATGCATTTGTTACTTCTCGCCGTACTGACGTATTGCTCTCTGGTCTTCCCATGTCCAGTGTTAAAAGCTTGCAGTTAGTACAAAATCCTGCAGCCAGACTCCCGACAAGGACGAGGAAGTTCGATCACATTTCCCCGACCGATACTAGCCGACTTGCATTAGCTTCCAATCCATTTGAGATGCGATTTCAAGGTTTGGCTACATACTTATGTAAGCTTATGTTATATTATTAATTATCATTTTATGTTTGAGCATCATATTATTTCATGTTAAGCATACCTAAATTATATTCTGTTGTTTAATAATTGCTTAGACATGTTTTTATGTTGATAGGTTCTGATTGGCTGTTAAAGTAAGAGAAGCAGGAAGTGATTTTAGTTACGAGAGTTGTGTTCTCAAACATGCTGTGGTGCAGACGTCTTTTTTTTTTCCACTTTTAATAACCTGCAATTAAGGATTCCATCTCTCCTTTTGTCATTCGTAAAGAAGAACTATCCACTAAAAACAACGAACCCCTCAACTTACATTGGTGGCAACGGTGTTGGTATGTTTTGTGTGGCTTTTGACTATTTTTATGCAATGATTTTTTTCTTGCTTATTGTCATCTTGCTAGCCACATGGATTTTTGCGCTCTACTGAATGGCTGCTGATAGTCAGTATTTTGGATGAGATTTTGAGATTTCCTGCAGTTTGATTTTTTTTTTCCCCCCTACCTTCTTTTTGGACATTATTACCATCGTTATTCACCCTTTTTGAGCTCACCATGCCCGACACTGACATCCATGAGTCGACCCGCTGAAATGGTTTGTTCTACTGCTACTGATATGGCTGCTGTGAATGTTACTCCACCAGGACGCCTCAACATTGATTTACCACCAGTTTTTGAAGGTGATGGGACTGTGTCCTTTACCAGCTGGTCTCGACGTTTTGAGGTGTCTATGCAAGCCATGTACAACCAACCATCCGCTGACCTGTCATCTGTGCTGGCTTCAGTTTTATCAACAAGGTTAGCTGAGGCTGCATTTCTGTACTGGGATAGCCTTTCCCCCACAGTCAAGGAGGACTACAGGGCTGTCAAGAAGAGGCTCCAGGATGTTTTTGGTCTTGACCACTCCCTGACGTTTTTCCAAACCCATGTCAATGCTCGTCCCCGCAAGCCCGGTGAAAGCCTTGAGGTGTACAGTGCTGACATCACGCGCCTCGTTATGGAAGCCTTCCCTGACTACGGCCGTGTAGCGCAGGAAGGAGAGAAGTTTCGTTGCTTCGTGGCTGGTTTGGAACCTGCCCTGCAAGAAAAGATCCACAAGATGGGAGCGGCAGACCTTGATGAAGCCCTCGTTGTTGCTGGACGCTGTGAAAGAGCACGTGCAGCACTGAACCTTCATGCTTCATACCCACCTATGCAGACTATGGACTAGGTGTCAATGACATGTTCTGATGCTGCTTCTGATAAACTTCTAAAAGCAAACGAACAACTGACACTTAAAGTGAGTAACCTTGAATAACCTACAGAGTGACGTCCGCCAGCTACAGGAGGAGAACACCTACCTCAGCCAGCGCTTTGACCACTGGGCCAGTCACCATTTTCCATCCGACCATCGTGATGGATGCCAAGCCAGAGCCTACTACTCACCTGACAGACACTACGTTCAAACTCCAGAGTTCCATCGCAGGCACCATCCAGACTCACCTGAGGTCCGACAGAGCAGACGTGATTGGATCTCTGATGATGACCGCCACCACCGCCATTCCCCAAGTAGATGCAGCGGGAACTCTCAGGAGGATAAAAGACGCCATCATTCTGCTGATTGTACATCATAGGACCCATTCAACTGGACTGTGATCCACAGAGAAGAACATCAATGTCAGAATGCAGACTCATTGCCAAGGCGTTCAGAAGTGCCAAGTCCATCTGACACCACTGACACCCCTCCTGACGTCGGGCTGCCTTCTCATGTCATTACGAGGCCCATTAATGTGAACCACAGCAAACCCAGCTACGTGTGCACCGCCGATCTTCAGCCGGAACCAAAACCAAAGCCCCATCAGCCGGTTCCAAAACAGTCCAAAGGATCCTCCTCACCTACTTTCCAGCTTTCAACCAGTGGATTGGAACTGCAGGAGAAACAGGAGCAGGACGCGATCCTGTCGGAGGTCATGAGTTGGAAGACCAAAGGCTTCAAACCCCCTCACTGGAGGATGAAAAACAGACCCGCTGCAGAGAAGTCACTCTGGCATGAATACAGAAGGCTCACCTTTCACCAAGAGCTACTCTGTCGGAAAATCCATAACCCAAAATCCAAGTCAGCAGTCTACCAGGTTATCATACCCCAGGAGTTACACGAAGATGTCTTCAAGTTGCTCCATGGAAATCCTGTGGCAGGCCATTTGTCAGCAGAGAAGGTTCTGCAACGTACTCAGGCACTGTGCTACTGGCCATTCATGTCTCGAGATATTCGTGAGTGGTGCAAGGAGTTTGTGCCATGTGATCCTCGACGCAATCCTGCTCCACATCAGAGAGCACCCATGAAGACAGTGACTGCAACCTCATCATTCCAAAAGATCGGCTGCAGGGCCTGCAGCCCTGGGCTTAGGTTCCAGTTCCTTCACATGCCCAGGCCGCCATGAAGTTAAGCTTCCGTCTTGTTTCAAAGACTTTGTTCTGACATGATTGTATGTTCCTGATGCCCATTTTTTTAACCCCCCCGTGCAATGTTGTTAATTTGTTGTAACCTGGATTCTACAGTTAAGTGAGCAAAGTAGAAATGAGGACATTTCTCAGGAGGGAGGGGGAAGATTCCTGATGCCCATTTTTTTAACCCCCCCGTGCAATGTTGTTAATTTGTTGTAACCTGGATTCTACAGTTAAGTGAGCAAAGTAGAAATGAGGACATTTCTCAGGAGGGAGGGGGAAGAATGTAAGCTTATGTTATATTATTAATTATCATTTTATGTTTGAGCATCATATTATTTCATGTTAAGCATACCTAAATGATATTCTGTTGTTTAATAATTGCTTAGACATGTTTTTATGTTGATAGGTTCTGATTGGCTGTTAAAGTAAGAGAAGCAGGAAGTGATTTTAGTTACGAGAGTTGTGTTCTTGGACTGTCATGATTCGGTTTGGGACCAACAGGTGGCACTGTAGGGCTGCAGCTGCACACCTGTTGGTCATTAGGTAATTAGTGCTTTAAAAGGACTCCCAGCCCGACCACTCATTGTCGGGTCATTGTTGCTGTTTGCTACTGTCATGTTTGTTTGTTGCCGTTTCTCTGCTGCTGTCACGTTTGTTTTGGTCATGGTTCTGTTTTAGCTTCAGTTATGATTTTTGTTTGCTACTTTGGACTATGTTTGTTTTGCATTTAGTTTTCTCTGTTTTAATACACTTCTTCAAGTACAACCTGCTCCTCCCTCCTGCCTGCTTTTTTGGGGTCCACCACCACCTCGCATCGTGACATTACCACTGCTTTCGATCTTTAAGAATCCAATTATGAGCTTCGACATGAGTTTGATGATGTACAGTTTTCCAGTATATTCAAAATTGTGAGATGAACCTTGATGAAACGAGTTTTTGTGGTATGGTTTAAGTTTGAGAACATGTGGAGAAGAAAAACGATTTCCTATTGTTGCAGTCTTTTTCTGTCGCTGTCAAATATAGTATTGTAAAGATGGAGATGATAAAGATGAACTCTTATTGGCAATATCACATTAACAGTTCTTTTTAACTTTTGGTCATGTTGGTAATTTAACGGTGCATTATAAATTGCAGGTGAGCAGATTTATTTGGTACATTTTTGTGTCTTTGTCATTTTATTTCGTTACCATGAATTTAATACAAACGAAATAAAATGACAAGAAGAAATGTAAAATAAAATTCATTTACTCACCAATGTCGTGCCTGTTCACTGAGGTGCAGATCTACGCGAGTGTCCCCAAACGTTTTTAAACGCACCGTAGCTTGTAAGTAGTGATGGGAAAATGAAGCCTCATGAAGCAATGAGGCTTTCCATCCAACTGGGTCGTTCCTGGGCCGAAGCATCATGAGGCTTTATTTGTACTACTGCGCCATCATGTGGAAAATAAATGTCATGACAGTGATTAAAATGAGACCATGGATTTGATGTCGAGGTAAGATCGGGCCAAAAAAATCCAGCCCGACCCGGCCCGAGCCCGACCAATGAACTTGATTTGCAGGCCCGAGCCCGAGCAAACCCGCCATTTCATTTGTGATGAGTCGGGAGGAGGAGGGGTGATTTGTGACAACAAATGAAAGCCTGTCTTTTCCACAAAATCTAAGTTCGACAAGTCTGTATCATTATTTACATCCTTTAAAGATGTATTTCTGTTTCAGCAGAGGGTACATTCACCGACAATTTTCCATCATTGACGGATTTTTTTTTTAAGAGTTGTAGGAAAAATTTAAGGTATTCCGTCATTTGGACGGGTTGAAAATTGGGCCATTCACCACAGCAGCAGTACATCCTGAAGAATTGTGCGCGGTGGCACACGATGAGAGAGAAGCAGCGAGACAAAGAACAACAATGACGGCTGGATCATAGAGACATGAAGGAGTTCTTTGAGTTGTCATTGTGAGAGTTTAGTACAGTACGTGTTGTGATGGGGCCACTTCGGTTTTTTGGCCAACCACGGTCTCTCGTGGCCAAAACTATTCACAGCCTCGTAACGAACAAAAAAAAAAGTCGGCGAGAGAGAAGCCCGACCCGATCTGACCCGCGGGCTCGGGCGGCCCAATCTTACCTCTAGTCAGTGTCACCTGTCAGCTCATTGTCGTCCCGGTGTGCCGAACTTTTTTCGATTCACCCGCGAAACTTATTTGTTGGTGGTGACGTAGGAATCCCGTCCCGCGAGGCATCGGGCGGAGCAACGCGCGTTCCGAGGCATCGGGCGTGGCCGCGAGCGTCATCGACACACGCCTCGAAGCGCGCTTCGCACATTTTCTTCCGGTTTACTCGGCACACGCATCGGAGCCTCGGCACAGTTATCACTATGAATCACTTCCTTGAACCCTCCACAATGCTGAGGGGCTGCAGTCCTTGACAATGAAGTTCAACAGGAGTAACTGCTTCCTGGAAGTTGATTGTCAAACATGAAGTGGAGAGTAAACCAATAATAATTACTGATTGCCAATTATCAACAAAGCAACTGTGAAAAGGTAAGAGAATGGCTGTATACCTGAGGTTCTCCTGGGTGTATCGGGAACTTAATTCTCATGCTTGGCCCGATAATGCCGCAGCATGGGGGAGGTGCTTCTGTTGGTAAATGATAATTCTGTATTCACCTTTAATAAAATATGTGAATAGTAAAGTAAGATTTGCCTTGAAATTAATATGAATTAGAATGGAACAAAACATGTCAAAAATCTGAGAGGCACTTGGTGAGACAAAGAGATTGGAATAAATACCTTATTCTCCGAAAGGAAATCAGAATGGTCCCACACAGCTGACACTTTGCATTTCCCCTGGAGCTGCTCCATAATATGCATGTACTTCCACAAGCAAGGGTGAGGTTTGCATCGTGTCGTCAGCAGGCGCACTTCCTTATTAACATATTTTGGCGTGTTTTTGCAGCGTCGACGCCCCCTGAACTGCGTCAACACAGTTCATGCATTGGTCACGTGATTGTCTTAAAGCAGTACGTGCACCGACGCGGGGATTGCTCTGTGAGCTCGGTGCATGCGTCGACGCATCGGTGTTGCGGGACCCATTACTAATTAATACATTTTGTCAAGTTCACACTGCTCATCCTTCCTGCCTGCTTTTTGGGGTCCTCCACCACCACCGCTCGTGACAGAATGACCCGACCATCAAAAGGAGACCGCAGGAACAAAGGACTGGTCCCAGTTCCACCCTGTGCCACCACGTCAGGCCGTCCCATGTTCCCAGTCACGTCGAGCCACATCCACGGTAGGCCGAGCCCTGTCCATGTCCAGCCGAGCCACGTCCACATGCCCGTTTGAATTGAGTCACGGCCATGTCCACGTTGAGCCGAGCCACGTCCACATCAGGCCGAGAACCGTCCATGTCAGGCCGTCCCATGTTACCCTTCACGTCGAGCCCCGTCCACGTCAGGCCGTCCCATGTTCCCAGTCACCTCTAGCCACATCCACGGTAGGCCGAGCCCCGTCTATGTTCAGCCGAGCCACGTCCACGTGCCCGTTTGAACTGAGTCACGTCGCCGTCAGGCCGAGCCCAGCCATTGGGTGACTGTTTGGGACTTCTGCGATCAATCCCTTGAGGGAGGGGTACTGTCATGGATCTGTTTGTGACCAAGACCTAAGCACTTTTTATGGACCTGGTTTTCTATTTTAATTTTATTTTGTAATTATTTGGAGATTTACAGAAAAAAAAACATTGATATTCCCCCTGGTGGTCGAAATTAAAGGTTGCAGGTGTGACTTGGGACTCGTCTCAAATACAGCAGAACGTAAATGGCTAGGATTGCATCTGTTCAAGTCTGTTTAAAAACAAAATACAGTCAAACCTCGGTTTTCGTCCATAATCCGTTCCAGAAGGCTGTTCGAAAACCGAATTGTTTGAAAACCGAAACCACGCTCTTTTTGAAATAAAAATGTTTATTGAACACGTCTGGTCACAATGGAAAGCAACACAAGGAAGCGTCACTTCCTCGTCTACCCAAGGAAGTGTCACTTCGTCGTGTAAGGAAGGCGAGAGGAGTCGAATGGTGCATTCAAGTGCGCTCAGTTTGTTCGAGAACCGAAATTTGTTCGTCATCCGAGGCATAAAAAAACGCTAAATTTCGCTTTCCAAAAAAAAGGCAAGAGAGGAAAATAGTACCGAGAATACAAACGAAAAACAATGTAACAACTACACGCAAGAAAAAGCCAATTCACAAAACAAAGCAATAAGAACAAGAACAATGTTACCGGGAGTATCCAAAAGCGTATACACGACGAGGTCTATAACAAAGTGGTCAGAGGGCATGGAAACAGCAAGGCAATAACAATACTCCGACACAGGTGAGCTGAAGCAGAGTCCTTAAATACCTGGTCCCATAATGACTGGATTGGCAGCAGGTGTGCACAGAAGACCGCACATGCCACCTGCTGGTCAGACCAGAAACCGAATCGTGACAGTACCCCCCCCTCAACGGACGCCTACTGGCAGACCACCCGGCTTCGAAGGGTGCGCAGCGTGGAAAGTACGAAGCAGGGACGGATCCAAGATCCAGGAGCGGGGGACCCACTGCCGCTCCTCCGGGCCGTAGCCCTCCCAGTCGACCAAATACTGGAACCCCTTACCCCTGCGCCGAGAGTCCACGACTTCCCGCACAGTGTAAACTGGATCGCCGTCGACAATCCGCGGAGGAGGAGGCGATGTGGGAGGAGGAGCCAAGGGACTGGAGACCACTGGCTTCAACAGGGAAACATGGAAAACGGGATGAACCTTCATGGTGGGTGGCAGTCGGAGCCTGACAGAGACGGGGCCGATGATCGATTCCACCTCGAACGGTCCTGTGAAGCGAGGCCCCAACTTGCGAGAAGTACCAGCCAGTCTCAGATCCTTTGTCGACAACCACACCTTCTGCCCCACCTGATAGCTAGGTGCTGGGCGTCGACGGCGGTCAGCAATCTGCTGGTTCCTCACAGCCGTGCGTGACAGCGCAGCTCTGGTCTCCCTCCACACGCGATGGGCCCGTCGCAGGTGGAGTTGTATGGAAGGGAGTTCCACCTGACCCTCCTGGGAAGGAAATAGAGGAGGTTGATAACCATAGGCAGACATGAAAGGAGACCGACCGGTGGCAGACGAGACGAGGGTGTTGTGGGCATATTCCACCCAAGGCAGGTGAGTCGACCATGATGAGGGGCGATGGAGACAAACGCAGCGAAGAGCTGCCTCCAAGCCCTGATTAAGGCGTTCAGTTTGGCCGTTGGACTGCGGGTGATAACCTGAGGACAGACTAGCAGTGGCCCCCATGGCATGACAGAAACGTTTCCACACTCTGGAAACGAATTGAGGACCCCGGTCCGACACGATGTCCACCGGAATCCCATGAAGACGGAAGACGTGGTCGATTAGAAGGTCGGCGGTCTCCAAGGCGGATGGCAGCTTGGATAAGGCAACAAAATGAGCAGACTTAGAGAAGCGGTCAACAATGGTGAGTATGACTGACTTGCCCCGGGACGGAGGCAGGCCTGTGACAAAGTCCATGGAGATGTGGGACCAGGGTCGAGACGGAACAGGCAGTGGCTGCAGCAATCCAGCCGGTGGTTGGTGGGAAGCCTTACTGCAGGCGCAGGTGGAGCAGGCCTTGATATAGTCCAGCGTATCCTTCCGAAGCTCCGGCCACCAAAATCGCTGCGAAACGAGCTCTAAGGTCCGGTTCACCCCAGGATGGCACACCACCTTAGACGTGTGCCCCCACAGCAACACCTCAGAGCGCAGAGGTGGGGGTACAAAAAGCTTCCCTACAGGACCGCCAGCAGGGACTTGAATTCCGTTCTGGGCCTCCTGGACCTTACGTTCGATTTCCCACCTCAGGGCCCCCAAAATGCAATGGTTGGGAAGAATATTCTGTGGTTCGCTGCTCCTCTCCGTGGGGTCGTGGATACGGGAGAGAGCATCAGGTCGTATGCGTGGATACGGGATAGAGCATCGGGTCGTATGTTCTTGGAGCCGGGACAGTAGGTAAGTGTGAAATTGAAACGTGTGAGGAGAAGCGCCCACCGTGCTTGTCGTGAGTTAAGTCTCTTGGCAGAGCGAATGTAAGCGAGGTTCTTGTGGTCAGTGTAAACCGTGAATGGCTCTTCCGTCCCCTCGAGCCAATGTCGCCATTCTTGCAGAGCCAAAACGACTGCGAGGAGTTCACGGTTTACCACGTCGTAGTTGGCTTCGGCTGGACTGAGACGACGAGAGAAGAAGGCGCAAGGGTGGAGTCTTTGGTCGACTGGGGATCGCTGCGACAATACTGCCCCACCCCGGAATCTGAAGCATCCAC